CTGGGGCCACCAGCCAGCAAAGCTTACTCTTTGTCCAGGCGGCGCCTTGGTCAACTATTCAAAAGCAGTCAAGCCACTTAAGCTCACTACAGGGTTTGTAAAGGAAATGAGCATAGAGGTTCAACTTCAGCAGTGTGAGTAAGAGCTACTGTAACAGAACAAATGGACTGTTTATCAGCTTTCTATCTACCCCTAACACAACCATGTGAAATGAGGCATTAAACCCCGGTTTTTAAAAAAGATGACAAACACTGGCTAATTTACTGGAGTAGAACATATTGAGGCAGATGTTTAGTTTTGCATTAAATCTATATCTAGCATTTTCATTAAAGGAGGCAAAATGTGGACTTTATTGATGCCTCAGTGCCCATTTCAGATTAATGCTTACCATTGAAAATTGTGCATGAAATCACAAATGTATCTGCAAACACATCAGAAGGGGCGGGCTGGGGGCTGTATGCTTGTTCATAGCCAACCCTTTCGGAGGCTTATTTTGCTGTGCTTGCCTAGGATGTGCATTGCTAATATCTCTGATTGCTTAGTTAAATGCCCTTTTAGATAGAGTGAGAAAAGATATGGAAGAAATGGGGGGACATAGCACTTCTGTGTAATGAGCAATTAAGCCATAATATACTTCTCGATTTGTAGTTAATATTCCCAGGATAATTAGGTTAGTGTCCTTCTAAAAACAACTGTTAGTTTCCATAACTATTATTCATGGTCACATGTTGGCTGAAGTAGCTAAGGAAAAAAAAAAAAAGAATTAAAGACCTTAGAGTAAAAATAATCATTTAAAAAATAGAACCTAATTTTTACCATCACCAAAACTAATAAGATGAAACTCTTCCCCATTATGAGATAAGAACTTTATTTTTATAACATTGAATATTTTTTATCTTAACTAGTTATGTATATGTATACACACACATACATATGTTGTTTCAGATTCTCACACTAGTGAGACAATATGACATTTACAAATGCATGTCTGATTTATTTCACTCATGAGTATGGTCTCAACTTGCATTCCTTTACCGATAAAAGTCTCGAATTTGTCCTTCTTTATGGCTGAGTAGTACTCCATTGTATAAAAGTACACCTTTTTTTATCCATTCTCAGTCGATGGACATGTAGGTTGTTTCAAGATATAGCTACTACAAATTGTGCTTCTATAAACATGGGTGCACATGTATCACTTTGGTATGATGCTTTTAATTCTTTTGGGAAGATATCCACAAGAGGAACAGCTGGGTCAAATGGGACCTGTAGTGTTAGTTTTTTGAGTAATCTCCGCACTGATTTCCACAGTGGTTACACCAGTCTGCATTCCCACCAACAGTGAAAAAGGGTTCCTTTTTCTCCACAGCCTCTCCAGCATTTATTGTTGCATGATTTCTTGATAGTAGCCATTCTTTCTGGGCTGAAGTAGAATCTCAGTGTTGTTTTAATTTGCATTTCTCAAATGATCAGTGATGTTGAACATTTTTTCACACATTTATTTGCCATTTGTATTTGCTCATCTGAGAAGTGTGCGTTCATCTCAGATGCCCACTTTTGGATTGGGTCTTTAAATCTAGGAGGACTGATTTTTTGAGTTCTTTGTATGTTCTCAGTAGTAATCCTTTGTCTGAGAAACAACTGGCAAACATTTTCTCCCATGTCATGGGTTGTCTCTTCACTCTGTTGGGTGTTTCTCTTGTTGTGAAAAAGCTTTTCAATAGGACGAGATCCCAAGTTGTTGACTCTGTGATAGTTCCTGTGCGATTGGGATTTTGTTCATAAAGTCTCTGCCTGCATCAATGTCTTCAGAGTTCATTCTACTCTATCTTCAGCATATTCAATGTTTCTGTTTTAATATTAAGGTTTTTTATCCATACCAATTTTAGCTTAGTGCGAGGTGAAAAATATAGATCCAGTTTTAATCCACTATAACATTAAATCTGGACTCAAATTGTTTATATACGGATATCCAAAATGACTAAGGAGAAATTCTTTTGTATATCTCTCTACTTAGAGTAATAAAAATTAAGTGATATACAAAGAAAAAAATGATACAGTTTGAAAGTGAATTCTGGAGTCAGATTCTTTGGGTTTGAATCCCAGTTCTGGTTCTTACTGGTGATTAGTGATCAGCCGATCCACATGAATTTGGAATGAAGGAAAGTTAGTTCTTCCAAGAAGGGAGGTGGTGCCCCAAGAAGAAAAATGGAAGAGATGTAAGAACTAAACGAGATGTTCAGGGTGCTTCAAGGGACGATAATGGGATGGAGGAATGGAGAGCAGGCACCACGGGCACACTCCGGGCTTCTCGGGACAGACCAAGGCCCAGAGGTACAGACTTTTAATAAGAGGCTGGGGAATCATTCAAAACACAGCAAGGCCTGTGAAACAGGTTTGCACTCAGTCCTGCTGTGTAAGAGAAGTTCGCATTCACGGTCTGCTCTACCTGCTGCAGGGCTGGTGACCACTTAGCCATCAGAGCAAGTTATGTAAACTCGGTGGCCAGGAGGAGGAAAGTGCAACCAATGGAATGGTCCACAGGCTTCCAGACACTGTATTTTATCTTTCTTTTCTTTTCTTTTCTTCTTTTCTTCTTTTCTTCTCTTTCTTTCTTTTGTATTTTGCAACACAGACAATCAAACCCAGAACCTCATTCATGCTAGGTAAGCACTGTATCACTGAAGCACAACCCCGACTCTTAGACATTTTATTTTAATTTTGTATTTAACCTTACTGTCTTGTCCATTCCACCATCCTCGCTGAAGTCATACAAAGATGAAGCACTGACTACTCATCCAAGTCATTCCTGAATGCCTCGGACACCCCAACCCTCAGGCTGGCCTTCTGGCCCTACCACTGGTCCCTGAGAATTCATCTAGTACTATTTTCAGGGAGCCTTGCCTCTCCATTTTGGTGCCAGAGAATAGCAATCACTTAGGGTTTTTTTTTTTTTTTTTTGGTACCGGGGATCGAACTCATGCCTGCACACTTGCAAGGCAGGCATTTATGCTGCTGAGATAAATCCCCAGCCTGTAGGTCTTTATTTCTAAAGCTGTGTACACAGAACATGAATTCTAAAAGAAATACTGGGTGCTAAACAAAGGTTCTAAGACCAAACAGCTTTAAATGCACTTTGGTAAACAAATAAATATATTTCTCTATTCTACAGGCTTCACAGAGCATTTAAGATGCTAATGTACCATGTAAACATCAAAAAGAAAATAAGATCTGCCCAAATTTCTCAAGTTTATTTACCCCCAGCCCCTTCCCCACATTCCACACTGAAGCCACTCTGGTTTTCAATGCTGTTTAAGAGGCGTTTCCTCCAGTAGCCTCAAACTCCTGGGCTCCAGCGGTCTTCCTGCCTCAGCTCCAAAAAGACTGGTACTGTCTTCCCTGAACTCAGAGAGAATATGACCTTCCAACACCCTGATGGCCGACTTCCACCCTACAGAACAGTGAGGTAATGAATTTGTGTTGTTTTAAACTATCATGTTTGGTCAGGCGTGATGGCACACACCTGTAATTCCAGCACTCAGGAGGCTGAGGCAAGTGGATCACCTCAAATTCAAGCCCAGCTTGAATGCAAGACCCTGTCTTCAAAAAATAAATAAATAGAATGTCCACTTTGTACGCTTCGCTTTTGTAACTTGAACAACTATTTGTAAGAGGACAATATGTAATTATCAACTAGTGATTTCTTACTGTTTACTTTTTCTTTGAAATACCCTTTTTGTTTTGTTTATTCTTTCTTTAAATAAAATTAAAAAGAAAGAAAGAAAGAAAGAAAGAAGTTACCAGGTTTGTGGTATTTTATGTCAGCTTTAGGAATCTGAAAAATTTGGGAGTTTACATTTATCATATAACTCAGGAACCCTATTCCTACATATCTTTCCAAAGCAAATGACAGTTTTACCCCCACAAAGTCCTTTACGTGAAGCAGGTGTGGTGGCTTTTGCCCATAACCCTAACACTCCAGGAAGATGAGGAAGATTGCAAGTTTGAGCCCAGCTGACTTAGCGAGATACTGTTTGAAAATAAAAAATAAAGGAAATGAGTGGGGATGTAGCTCTGTGCAAAGCCCTGAGTTCAACCCCCACCCCAGCACCAAAACCAAAACAAACAAAAAAAACTGCACACGAACTGATTTTAACAGGGTTTTTTTTTTTTTTTTGTCTTGTTTTGTTTTCATACCAGGGATCAGAATCACAACCTTGTGCCTGCCAAGCAGGCACTTGCCACTGAACTATATCCCCAGCCCTAACAGCTTTCTTTGTAATCGCCCAAAACTGGAAACAATCCAAAGAGCCTTCAGGTGAAAAACGAACAAAACAAACTGTAGTGTGCCCAGATTATGACATGTCCCCAGGAAGAAAAAACAACTGCTGAGAATCACAAGAACACAGATTAATCTCCAGTGAAATGCACTAATGCTAAGTGAAAAAAACACACGCAAAAGCTTCATACTTCGTGGTTCTATTTATATAACATTCTGAAAAAGGCAAAACTACAGGGAGATGGAATAATTGTGGTTCCCAGGGATTGGGCTGCGAACACAAGCTGACCACAAAGGATGCCTCAAGGAGGGGATTCTGGGAGCAATCGAACCATTCTGGGTCCAAAGTGTGGTGATGGTTACACACCGCATGCACTTGTCAAAGCTCACAAAGCTGTACAGCAAAGAATGAATTTTGTTGTATGAAAATCACAAATAAGGGGCTGGAGATTTAGCTCAGCGGCATAAGCGCCTGCCTTGCAAGCAGGCAGTCGTGAGTTCGATCCCCGGTACCGATAAAAATAAATAAATAAATAAATAAAAGGAAATCACAAATAAATAAGTAGAAACTATATTAAGTCTATAGAAATAGCTTACTGAAACGTATGAAAATAGGGTTGTTGCTCTTAATGTCATGCATAGTTACAGTTGCAAAATCTTACTTTCTCAACAGTTTAGTTCCAGACACATCACCGACTCTCTCCCACACTCAGTAGTTTCCCACCTGGTGAGAGATGATGCACAGGAGCATGGACGATGCCGAGGACCTCACAGGAACCACTTTTGAGTTGTTGTGCTAATAAATCAGCATTTGTGTAATTTTCTCAAAATAGATAATAGCCTCAAAACATCCATCTGAAGAAATAAGATCACCAAAAGAGGAAGGCAGAGGAGGATGCAAAACTGTCTGAGCAGTCACAGCCTCACAGACATGAAGTCTGAACTGTGGAAAGAAAAATGGGTTCCAGTGTGTTTATCAGCCAGTGGGTTACCGTTAAAAAGTGTTCACTAGTCCAAACAGGCTTCTAACCTTTTTATTTACCTAACCTTTGTAAACCTAATATAAACAACATTAGTAAGCTTCAGTACCCCTTTCTTTTGACAGACAGTACTCATAATTCTTTAAAAGTATGTTTTGGAGTTGGATAATCTTGGTTTTAATCCTAGATTTTTGACCAAATCTGTAATGCTAGGCTAATTATTTAAACTTTCAAATGCAGGTGCCATTATTTGCATTATAGAATTACATAATTAAGAACAAAATTGCATGACCTTGTTGTAGAATTCATCACAGAAATTATTAATATAATTTATCACACAAATTATGTAACAGAATGTACACTAAGGTTTATGGTAGAATCTTAAGCCCTTAACCAAAACAGTCTGGTAAATGAATAAGGCTGGGGATGCAGTTCAGTGTAGATGCTTGCATAATATGCACAAAGCACAGGGCTCAACCCCAATACAGCAGAACAAAGAAAAAACAGAGAAAAAGAACAAAGGTAACCCACACTTACCAATGTCAAAATTTATATAGATGCCGGGCGTGTGCTGCATGCCTGTAATTCCAGCCCTTGGGAGGCTAAGGCAGGAGGATTGCTGTGAGGTAGAGGCCAGCCTGGACTATACAGACAGACACTATCTAGAAAACATAAAACAACAACAAAAAAACACACCTTACTGCAGAACTATAAGAACTAAAATAGTATGTTACTATAAAAATGGACATTTGGACCAATGAACCAGCATTCAAAGTCTAGAAATAAATCATACATTTATGACCAGTTGATCTTCAACAAGGGTGTCAAGCCTCTTCAGTGGGGAAAGAATAATCTTTGTACTAGGTATCTGAGTGTACAAAATGAAGTTGGATCCCTACCTCATGTCATACCCAAAAGTTAACTCAAAACAGATCAATGACTAAGTAAAAGAGATAAAATCATAAAACTCTTGGAACAAATCATAGGAGTAATTCTTTGATCTTAGATTTGGCAGTGAATTCTTAGATATGACACTAAAAGCATGAACAACAAAAGAAAAATAGATAAGTTGATCTTTATCAAAACTAAAAACTTGTGCATCAAAGAATATTATTTAAAAGGTGAAAAGACAACTTACAAAGTGGGAGCTAAGCTTTGCAAATTACCTATTAAGGGAAGAGCATCCAGAATATACAGAGAACTCTTACAACTCAATGAAAGACAACTCAACTTTTAAATTGGCAAAGGATTTGAGTAGACATTTCTTCAGGGAAGATACACAAACTCCAAACAAGCACACTGAAAAAGAAATCAAATAAGCACATTGAAGATGCTGAACATTTTGTCTTTAGGTAAATGCAGATCAAAACAAAATGAGATATCACTTATATAGCCACTGCCATGAGTGTTAAAGAAATGGAAAACAATCATTGGTAAAGATAGAGAAGCTGAAATCTTTGCACTTTGTTTTGGGGAATGTAAAATAGTGCCCCTACAATGGAAAGCAGTTCGGCAGTTTCTCAAAAAGTTAAATATAGAATTACCATATGACCTAGCATTTCTACTCCCTAGTACATACCCAAAAATAGTTGAAAACAGATACTCAAGTAAATATTTACTTACGTTGTTTCATAGCAACACTATTCACAATAGTTAAATGGTAGAAACAAACAAAATGCCCATCAAATGAGGAATGGATAAACAAACATTAAGCATATTCACACAGTGGAATATTATCCAGCCATAAAAAAGAGCGAAGCATTGATATATACTACAAGTTAGACAAATCTTGAAATATTATGCTAATATATTAAAAACTAAGCACAAAAATCACGTATTATAGTATTCCATTTATGTGAACAATCAAATATAAGTAAATCCAGAGAGACAGGAAGCAGGTTGGTAGTTGCCAGGGTCTGACAGGAACACAGAATAGAAAGTGACTGCTTACTGGGTTTTATTTTGGAATACTGAAAATGTTTTCAAATTAGATAAAAGTGGTGGTTCATACAACGTTGTAAATCTAACAACCATCACTGAATTGTTCACTTTAAAAGTGTTTCATCTTGTCATACAAATTTTACTTTAACAAATTTTTAAACTGAATGACTATGAATTATGATGACATTAATGAAGATTTTGAAAAAGTATAAGGCATCAGTAAGTGTTAGTTATTTTTTTCCCATCCTTCAGCCCTCTTTCATTCTTTCCTTCTTTTTTTTTTTTTTTTCAGAAAGCATCTCACTAAATTGCCCAGACTGGACTTGAATGTGTGATCCTCCTGCCTCAGTCTCCCAGAGTGCAGGGATTACAGCCACGTGCCATTATGCCTAGCTCTGTATTTTTAATCTAAATTTTTAAATCTAATTCAATCTAAATTTTTTCTAATACAACACTGAGGTAACTTAATTTAAAATATGAACAAAATAGAGGGCAAGACCTGCTTCCACATGTTAGAAGATTCAGTCAGTGACACACACACAGCTTCCTAAATTCTATGCCTTATCAAGTTTGGTGCTGTGTATATTCTGACAGTCCTTTCAACCACAGTACAAGCTGAGTCATTCACAGGACAATCCGATGCCATGCTAGTTGGTACCTATTTTAAAAGCCAGCCCAATCTGGAGAAGAAGGAGAAAGTCGATCATAGGTAAGAAGGAACAGAAGCTGTCATCCTTTTGATGCAGAAAATAAATTCTAGTCCTAGAGCAGCCACAGATGTAGTACAAGCTACAGAAAACAAAATTCAGATCATTGTAATTTGTCCAGAAATCAATGTGTTTTTGGATGTCTAAGATAGGAAAAAGACCAAGAAGAAATGAGTATTAAACAAACAGGACACTTGGTTGCATATTTGAGGGGGAAAATTGGAATTGTTCACTTGATAGTGTCGAGCAAAACAAATTGCAAGTAACTTAGGCATTAAATGAAAAGTGTGAAGAAGAAGAAGAAGAAGAAGAAGAAGAAGAAGAAGAAGAAGAAGAAGAAGAAGAAGAAAAAGTGTTGGCGGAAGGATTTTACAGAGACATGTTCATTTGCTCTCTAAATGATGCAAATTTGTCTAACTTTAACAACATTAAAGAAATCAGAGGGTGTTATTACAGTTGATTATACCTACTATCAGGTTTTTCACATTAAAAGCATAAGCACATATATTTTTACTTTTTATTTATTTTGATACCAGGAATCAAACTCAGGACCTTGCACTTCCCAGGCAGACGCTTGTACTGCTGAGCTAAATCCCCAGTTCTTAAGCCTTCATTTTTAATAACTGTGAAGCAATTTGCAATAATTGGAAAGCAAAAATTTCATATTCTCCAACCAAAAGGGTTCAAATAAATGCATAAGAAAGGCAAAAGACATGAAAGCCAAGATGTTAAAAAACAAAAAGAAATAACGAGTTGGTATGTAAAATAATTCAACTTTCATTGTAATAAAAAACATGAACTATAAAACAAATATATCATTCTTCACTATTCAATTAGAAAAATCGAATTTCCCAAGAGCAAAGGGATGCCGAAGTGAGCCTTGTGTTACACCAAGACAACAGAATAGGACTTCCCCAGGAAATAATTTCAGTGGTTTCAAACATGAATCCCTTTGGCTCAGTGAATTGTTTTCTGTTAATGAACTAGAAGGAACTGGGCTGAAATGAGAGCAATTGTGCTTATTGCAGAAAAATGCAATAAAAACAAGTCAGTGCTGCAGCTAGAGGTGTAGCTCAGTGGTAGGGGGGTCGCCTAGCAGAGGGAAACCCCGGGCTCAAGCCCCAGCACCGCAAAATGAGTAAATAAATACCGGCGTATCGAAAGAATAAGAATTTACGCCATCACTATGTAAGAGTACATCAGGCAATCATTAGCATGTTTTTGTTTTTGTTTTTTGTCTTTTTCCTTTTTATCGGTACCGGGGATCGAACTCATGACTGCCTGGCTTGCAAGGCAGGCGCTTAGGCCGCTGAGCTAGATCCCCAGCCCCCATTAACATGTTTATTAAACAAAATATTTATATTTATATAAAGTATTAAATAAAACAAAGAAAAAAATTACAGGTTTAATATAATCTAAATTATGATAAATATAGCAAGTAAATTGATAATATCCATTTAAATTTAAAAATGCATGTTCTGTACTTCAGTTCTACTTCTAGGAATTTGTATAATTCCTAAATGTATCACAGCAGAAAAGACAAATCTACAAAATATCTTTTTCAAAATGTTTTTTAATTCTTTATTTGTTGAGTTGTTTTGGGACAGAGTCTCGCTACATATTTTAGGCTCGCCCTGAATTCACTATTAGTTCAGGCTAATCTTGAACTCACGGCAATGCTTGTGCCTCGGCCTCCTGAGTGCCGCAGTACAAGCGTTTGCCACCACGCCCAGTTTGTAAGACATTTATTGTAGCATCGCTTTGCACAAGGCTGCACACAACCAAAATATATGTCGAATTAGAGAAATTCAGACATAAAAATAAAATAAAACTCAGCCACTCTCCCCCAAAAAGAAACCGAGGCAGAGAAAGAAAATTTCTAATTATACTGACAGCTAAACGTTTGAAGATCTATGGCTCAATGAAAAAGGCAAGGTGTAGAAATGGATGGAAAATTTGCGCGGAGGAGAAGGAGCTAACCATAAACGCCCTGGAGAACCTGCGTGGAGGGACCACTGCTGGAGGAAGGCGCCACAGAGAGCAAACAGAAGTCTGATGGCCAGGGGACAGTGACGCTTTGTCTTTACTGTGTTGCCTTTCTTATTATTTATGCTTCCATTATTACATACCAATTACATTAATTAATTACCTATTCAAAAATAATCTGAAGATTACAATGTCAAAATTCAAAAGCACTGTATGTATAAACACACGGGAAAAACAACTAAAAGAAATGTCCAAACACATCCAGGAAGTTTAATCCCTGAGTGTTACAATTATAGATGCTTGTTATTGTTTTCTACATATTTTTCCTTATTTTTCAAA